CTCAAAACGGCAATCTCAAAAAAGACGTACCGAACCAACGTGGTTTCTTCGAGGACGACGCAGTGCGCGAGCAGAAAGGCATGCGACGTCATCGAGAGACAGAGGAGACCGACCCATTGGTACAATGTTGACGGCGCGTCGACAGCACCGACGACCTTGTTGAGCACGATGGGCCCGACGAGCTCGAGAAGACGGAGGAGCAAGCCGAGGAGCGCCATGAGAAAGTACGAGCCGCCATAGACCCGCAGAAAGGCCTTGACGACCGACGGCGACTCGGCGTAGGCCGCCGCGAGCGGCGCAGAGTTGGCCGCACATGTGGTTTCGGGCGTGAGGTGCCACACGTCATCAAGGTTGAGCTGGCGCGGCGTGCGAATGAGTGGCAGCGCCCAGGCAAAGAAGGCGCGGGAGACAAAATTGGCCGATTTGGTCGGGTGCGCCGCCGGTGGCGTGTCAAAGGTGGCGTACTTAACGGTGGCTGCCATGGTGCGCGTTGAACTATGGCTCGACGATGCAGTCGGAAGCAGTCGGTCTGTCCCGGCGCGTGCGCTCAGCGGATCCATCGGTCAGCAGCGCGGAACAACGAGAGAACGTCCGTGGAACGTTTGGTTGGATGCTACAGCCACACACATTCAGTATTGACCATCATTTACGCTGTGTTTGAGTGGGAAAACGTCAAAACGGGGTAAACGTGGCCTTTGCGCGCGCCTTTCAATAAAACCCAAATGCCCAGGTTGGCTACGTTGGTGATATTCTCACATAACCTTCACACCAAACCCGCAAACTAACGTGTACAGCAAGCCTCTCAATTTCTCAACGTCCCCCCGTCTTGGCACAAGAGGCGAGCCACTGCATGATGACGAGCTCGGTGGCCTCACCCTGCTGATGCGGAGCTATGGGTCGATTCGGGATTATCGTATGGGCCTGCTGCATTGGGCCTAGAAACGAGACTTTACGCCAAGGGGAATCCCTTGCTTTATGAGGTGTACGCCGTCCAAGATACATCAATGGCCACTCCAGTCGATCCTGTCGTCGACGACTCAGAATTAAATAGTGTGCACGTTGTGACACTATTTAAAGCGAGCGACATAAATGGAATCCTACACTATTTAAGATCAACTAGCCTAGGCTACGAGTCCATGGCACGAGATTGTCACAGACTGGCGTCGAGCGTCGTGGCAGCGTGGTGCCAAGGAAACCTCCTGGACCCCTATCAAGGAGGACTGAGAGAGGATGTGTACCGTAGCGTAGAGGATTGTGGACAACCTTGTCCTGGAAGGACTGAGAACAAGAAATCGAATTCCAGGATCTGCGATACGCAGGTCCTAGGACAACCTGCGAGGAACCATCCATGACGTCAGATACTCGTAGGGGGCTAGCTAGCGAGCGAGCTATTAATACATGTTAAGCGTTTGTACTACAAGTGTAGTATACAAAAATGGCTTGGAGAATATGGTCACACCGGACTGAACACGGCGTGATGACGTGGCAGCTCCTGGCATCGTTTCGTGCTTCCTGTTTATTGGCTAAAAAGCTATAGAATTCCAGTGTAGCGGCTGTTCGAGGGCAGACGTTTGGTCATTCCAGTGCGACCTCTCGAAAGCTGCCAGCACATGGCCCCCGCTTCTGTGGTCACGACGTCCTGTTTATGAATGGACGAGGCACATGGGTGAACCTCATTACGCCCGTGAAAATGAAGTCGAGGCGTAATGTCTGCGGCCGGCACACGCGACGACAGCGTCCTATCCAATCGAGCTCGGAGATGTGTGGTACAGCAGCACTGGATCTCTTACTCGAGTGGCGTAGGTGCTCCCGCCACGCCCGCCATCCATTGGGTCGACGCACGCACTTGCGTCGGCCACAACAGTGCGCACGTCAAGAGCAACGCTGTGCTAACGTTAGTGTGTTTCTTTAAAAATGATGGATTGTTTGTGGGGTTACGTAGACTAACTAAAACTAGTGACACAGGAGGGTAGGGTCGCGATGTCGCGCCTAGTACTTGTAGAAGGTCGTGTTGGTGAAGACGACTTCCTGGAACTTGGCCGGGCAGAGCGGGAAGAGGATCTTGGGGTCGACGACCGCCGGCGAGAAGAGCTCCTTGCCCGTGTTGATCGAGACGTACACGCCGAGGCAGGCCGAGATGATCATGATGAACATCGAGATCAACTTGGTCGGAAGCGACACGGTCGGCCAGAACGTCTTGAGGTAGAACGTGAGCGGCAGAATCTGGTTGACGATCGTCGACGTCGACGCACCGACAAAGTCCATGAGCGCGCCGAGGTGGTCCTTCCAGATAACGGCGACGACGCAGCAGAACGCAATCATGGCGATGCGGAGGATGCACACCTTGAGGTACGCGCCGGGGGCCTTGTACGCGGCCGTGGGGTCGACGAGGTGCATGGCCTTC